GAGAGAAGAATATTTCACATGAGTGACAATAGGCAATGTTTTGTATAAAAATTTCCCTAATATAATAAACACCCTCCGTTGCCCCTGACACATAATTCGCTTGTGCTGCCGCCACTGCTTCAGACTCCTGTAAAGAACTCTAAACACCATTACTCATTAAAATAGCACTTTGGATCATAATCTGGCTTTTAAAGCAGGAGTAAAAAAATATCTATATCAGGAAGCTGGGGATTGGCTGTGAACACGTGATAGGAACATGATGACACACAGAGACTGATAAGAGCCAATCAGGAAGAGAAGTCATTGTTTCCAAAGGTCTCTATTCCAGTCTGTCACCAAGACAGCATCAGAAATGCAGCGTTCACTCTGAAACAATCACTTTAATGGACTGCCTACTACGGACTCAAAGGAGAACAGAAAACCTGCAGCTATTTTTACAGACATTGTTTATATATCTGCAAAAACAAACTTATTGGAGTGTTGATCTTTTAAAGCCCAGGTTTAACCCAACATTGGAAATGTATAAAAAGTACAAATGCAGCACTGTTCAACAGTCTTGGACTAGATCAATTGATTAAAATAGGTCAGAAGTTAGATTTTCTCCATAAGGGATAATGGTATAGCTTTTAAAGTTTTTAAAGGCCTTTCATTGTTTTTTTTATCATGTTAATTAATTTCCATTGAGTTTAATCCTGTCCTTTTCTTATGCTGCCTTGAGATATCATGTGCTCTGCAGCAAAAAGACAAACCTAAAGCGGGTGAGATACTGCTTTGTCTGTTATGTTGCATTTGTTAATTCAAGCACTTCAAGGACACATTTCCCACAGTTTAATTTTGCTATATGGTTTATTTTCTTTTTATTATATAAGCTCTTGTATTTGATGCAGTTTTTTTTTTCCTTGTTAGTGCATTTACATAGGAGGACATTCAGTTATAAAACTGCTTTTGTTTGAATTGGATTTGTTTTAAAAGGGCTACAGATATATATTTAAAGAGCTTTTTGAATTGACGTGGGTCTATCCTACTGTGTGGACGTCTCATATCCACAACCCTTTCAAGGTGACCCCACAGATTTTCTGTCAATTTTTTTGTCTGACTAAAAACAGCATTAAAAAAAAATCTAATCTGTGATCGACTCGGCCGCATACTAGGAATCCAAGTGATGCTTAAAAAAATTGAATCTGTCTTTACATTTTAGCAGACACCTGGTGGTTTCGAGGATGAGTCTCTGGGTTTCTTGACAATGCTTCCACCTCCGTGTTGAAGGTCTTCATCTTTTAATTTTCCAACCTTAAAAGGCAGTTTATTGTTTTGTCACCTAGAACAGAACTGGCACTTTTCAGAAATAACTGCTGCTCCTTTAGGGGTACTGCCAGCCTCCCTACTAGCTTCCATGTTGTTGTTATGAGTATTGTCAGAGAAGCTTCCAGTTCCTTCGTAAGTTTTTAAATATTTTATCATTTCTTTAATTATTGAAAGCTGTCTACATATTCTTCTTCTTATCTTCCCGGTCCAATTCTCCTGACTTTTAGTAATGAGACCATTTCGACCCTTTGTGATCACTTTTTGAACAATGGCTGCAGCCAAACGAAGCATATCAGCAAATGCCAGATAAGTCCCACTAAAAAAAAGTACATTTTATTTCAAAATAGTCTAAAATTATAAATGATGTGAGGTGAGACTAATGTGCAAAATTTAATACAATTGGGCAAAGTTTTGGTTTAAAGCTGTGTTCCCTTTTACAGAAAGGGTGCCTTTTATTTTTCTATATATGTTATCTTCATTTGTATTTTATTTTTTTATTTTAATTCTAGTTGTTGTGTCTTCCATTAAATGTAGAAAAAGCATTTTGAAACTATGAGGTGTTTTAGAATAAAAGACTTTCATATTCGCAGTAACAGTCACAAACAGCAGCCTTTAGCTGAAGCAACATAAATCGGCCCGCTGTGTCCCCTCGGCCCTGCAGGTGAACACTGCCATGTAATATGCAGAAGCAGTGGTGATAATGAGGATTTACATTGACAAAACAAATGCTTACCAATATATCAGACATTTTCCCGCTGCCTGTCCTCTAATCTGGTAAAAAAAAAAAAAAAGACAAAGAAAAGAAGGAATCTGTCAGGAAGGTGAAAGGGCTGGGTCACAACAAACAGCCATTTCATTACTGTGGCTCAAATGTCCCAGGGTTTAATTCAATCACAGGGCGATTATTTTTACTCAGATTCCACTCTGCAGGGAATTGGCTTTCGTGTGCTGCTGACCTCTTTACACGATGGCCATTTATCCCCCTCAGAAGAATTGTTTGGACGGTTTCATTGTCATATCCCTGAGTGCTGCTGGCTCTGGGTTTGGTGAGCCGTCACCTATCTTGTTATCTCCTCCTCCTCCTGCTGGTGAGATCAACTCGAGGAAAGCATGCAGAGCTGCATAAAGTAGAAGCTTGTTTTAATATCTATCTATCTAATTATCTATATATCTATCTATCTATCTAAGTTAAAACATATATTAAATATATAAATGTTATTACTCACTAAAGGCCTATGTTAATATAAAGAGGACATCAAGTGTTCCTTCATTTTTTTTCTGTTTCCTTTGTTAATCATCATGCAGCACCATCACTAACAACCATCTGTGCTTTAACCTCCATGCTGCCTGTTTCTTTAAGACGCCAGCGGCCCCTGAAAGTGTGAATAATATTCAGTAAGGAGTGACGCTTAAGAGGGAAAGCTTTTAGCACATTATCCACTGCCAATTGCAAGGTAATCTCATTTGCCAGTGCAGGTCTCTTATTAAATATCTGCACCAGCAGATCTGCATTCAGGAGTCCCCTAATAGGTTTAGCTGCTTGGCCGGTCTTTGGCTCTGTGTTTGGGTTAGCTGCTGTTTCCCTGAGAAGAGTAAAAGTGACTTTGAGGACACTGAAAAAAACATGCAACACAGAGGTTACTGCTTTGGGAACATGGTGCCAGATGCTCCTTGAAATAATTTCAGCTTGCATTCGACTCACACTAGTAACAGATTGTTGTTTTGAGCCAGATCTTGCATTTATTGTGCATCCTCCCTCTGGTTGGATTTGTTTTTCATGTTTTCATTTTTTTTGACTGACTAGGAGCAGTTATAAACTGATAGTTGGGACAGGGAAAGCTTCAGAATAAACAAGGGCTGCTGTCACTAATTAGACTTTTGCTGAAAAAAGCTCATCTTCCGCTGTTTTGCCTTGATATTTTTTCTGTATTTGCGGAAAGGCAGCAGGTGTGATGAAGAGTTTTGAAAATTGTACAGCTTGCCTATTCGATTCCTCACCTGAGGCTGAACCAGACCTGCTGAACATTAAGCCTAAGTGAATCTTTGGTGAAACTTTCTTTCCTGAATTCTCCTTGAAATTTTTTACAAATGTTTATTTTGTTCTGAATGGTTTCTTACATGTGAGTCAGAAATGTACCTCTGCCCAAAACTCCATATTATGCTCACTGTGTTATTTATCCTATCTTAGCTATTCTTACAACCTATTGGATTCAAAATAACACTTTAAATATGCCTCCTTAATATATGTCAGTACATTTTTTTAAAAACGTTTACAACTTTTCTTTACTTTTAATCTATTTTATTTTTTTTTCACTCATCAGTTAATAACATGACATACGATAACATAACTGCAAAGCTAATTAAAAAGTAAGCCACTGTGAGAGGTGATTTTGAACCTTGATTTAGACAGACATCTTTTTCACAAAACTTCATGTCACTTCAGGCCTCAACCTTCTGGAATACTAAGCCTATTTCAGCAAGGGAATGCTAAAGTTTTCAAACCTTCTAAATAAATTTAAAAAATGTGGTTGCTAGATGCTCAAACATTTGATCATGAGTGATCGGGGTGCACTATAGTGATTAACACCTATGGACTATTTTCTATCTTTAATGCTTTCAGTGCAATATATCACTAAGTACAATACCAGTGCGATCAGTGCAGTATAAGAGCTGTGAAATTCAAATAATTCACTTTTTTTTTCTTCATTATAGTCATTGACCTTATTGTTTGTCTATACTATGATGTGGTGTCTATGTTAAGGGTTTTAAATATCTAATTTGCCTGTGACAACAACTTGCCAGAAGGACAGATTGAAATTAGCCTAAAGCTGTAATCTGGCATATTTATATTGTCTATTGTTCATTAATATGCATGGTCCTCTATTTTTTTCAAAATCAATAAAACATTTTAAAAATGTATAAAACAACAAATGATGAAAAGAAACACTTAAAAAAACATGAAAATCAAAACACATTGTTCATGCAGTTTTTTTGTTTTTGTTTTTGTTTTTTTCTTTTTAACCAAAATAATTGCTGGGCCAAATATAATTAAATTTCAAAACCTTTTCTTTTTATTATAAAAAATACAACAAGGCACTTTTTTGTAGACCTGTGTCCCAATCTGTTTGATGCACCTTTTTTTCTGGATGAAATGGATAAAACCACCAATTAAATTGTAATAATACATTTAAATAAGTATAAAGCAGGGGAATTATCATAGGTTAAAAGGCCTTTAAAAAACTTCCACATTTATCTAATTATCTATTTTATTATTCTCCTTATTCTCCTCCAAGAACTTCCTTTGTTGGTCATTTTCACCCTCTGGACTAAGTGATGCATTAAAATGTCCTTCATTATCTTTAAAGGGGATCAAGGTAAAGCAAATGTAAAAGATGGTTCATATGGATTCCTTTTTGTTTTGCAAGACATCAAAGGAGTTCTCCTGCATATATTAGTCATTTCAGTCTGTCATCAGCCTCTGCAGTCATAAAATTCTCACATTATTACTTCCAATCTCTCTCTCTCTCCCTGTTCTGCTCCAGCTCTGTTTCCCTGTCTGTCTCTGCTGGCAGCAGCAGGTGATTTAATTGGCTGCTCGCTTTCAGGGCCTCTGTGAGACAGTGGGAGCGTGACGTGGAGGCAGAGGCAGTGATTGGAGGGCAGACTGGAATAATAAGGAGAGGCTGAACCGGAGCGGACTGATGCGTCCCAGCCGCTGGCCTCAGATCTGACATCCACCAGGAGACACTTGTGCGTTCCTCCTTCAACATGAATCCAACAAGACCTCCTGTTAGGCTGCAATAAAACTGCTTGTCTTTCTTTTTGACTGTTAACCTGCACACTTCAGCGAAGCATTTTTGCGCAGAAAGTCCTTAAATCAAGGAAAAACAGCGCGTAAATTTCTTCAACTTTCTGCCGCTTGGAGCCAAACGGCGGCTGGCATCTCTGGAGATTTTCTGCTTTTATTTGATCAGAGGGGAATATTTTGCCTTTTTTCAGCACCGACATGGAGTACACGTCATCTCCCAAGCCGCAGCTCTCATCCCGGGCCAATGCTTTCTCCATAGCCGCCCTGATGTCCAGCGGGAAGTCCAGCAAGGACAAGGAGGCGGAGGAGAACACCATCAAACCTCTGGGTAAGAAAGGGTTTTATCTCAATCACTGCTGGATCCTGTTGAGAAAAAATGGCAGCAAAATATTTAATATGTAGCATTAAAATGAAAGAAAAGGCTTTGCTTTTTTATCTTTTTTATGTGAAAGAAAAATGTCAAATAAACGTTGATGTGGAAACGCACATTTAAGCTTTTACGCACAGCTTGATCCATTTATCACCTGAGAACGTTTGATACACTATCGTCGTTTTTTACATTATATTGATATTTGGTCTTATCAATTTGCTGAAAAAAAGTTATTCGTTTTTTGTTTGTTTGTTTTTGTCCAAAAAGTCGTAAAGTTTTTACATAAATACATTTTAGTTTTATATTGTTGTCGGTTTTAATGATAGGGTTATCTCATTATCAGGTACAAGAATAAAAACTCATATAATAAGAATACATGATGATTGTTCTCATTTTTATTGACACGTTTATGGATTTAAATTCCAGAATATCAACGGTTAATTATGCCACGAATTTTGCTTTTTGTTTTTATTTTGTTGCCTTTGCTTTTTTTTCTTCTTCTTTTTTTGTTACCCTTGCCTATTTACTTGTATTGCTGAGACTTTTACATCTTAGGGATTTTTTTTATGTATCATTCTCTCTGCTTAAAGGTTGTAATGTGAAATAAGAACTATCCTCATTTTTATTCTGCATTTCTTTTCTTTTTTACTCATCCTCCTAATATCAGAGCAATTCGTGGAGAAATCCTCCTGCAACCAGCAGTCCCTGGCTGACTTGTCCTCCCTGGACGGGCACGGGGACTTCAGCGGGAACGCGCCCGCAGTGTGCACGGAGCCGCTCATCCCCACCAATCCCGGCATCCCCAGCGAGGAGATGGCCAAGATCTCGTGCAGCCTGGAGACCAAAGAGCTTTGGGACAAATTCCACGAGCTCGGTACTGAGATGATCATCACCAAGTCTGGAAGGTAAAGTGTTTGAATGCATTCATGCAGATGCTGCTCTCTAGTCACTCTGACCACATAGAATATGTATGAAATGTGGAAAATATAATAAAAGGTGGCCTCTTCCCTTCTTGTCTTTAAATTTATTGTTTAAGGATTTGTGTCTGTCTGTGCTACATGTTATGTTTTTATTAAATTGTTTTATTTTTTTAAATGAAATAAATAAAAAATTTGCTGCTCTCTATTTATTTATATACTGGTCAGACAGCGCAGAGATACTATAGAAACCAATTTCACTTTTTAAAAAAACCCACTTTTTACTGTTACTGTATATATATATATATATATATATATATA